AATGTTGGGCAACCTACTTCTGTAGTCACTACAGGTAGTATCAACTGCCTCGGAAACCCAAGGAGGGGTCGCTATGAGTCAGGTCCAGCTCCATGGCACATAAACATAACAACAACAACACACCTTTATAATTGTAGAAAATAAAAATCATAGTTTATTTTGTACTTCATTATTAAGTTCTAATTGAAAACTTTCTAAATGTGTCTAAAATGCTTAGGAAGGAATGTATAATCCCTTAAAACTCTTTTTCTGAAGGTTCTTAGAGGACAGAAATCAACATGTAATAAGTATACTAAAAAATCCAGACAATGTTGTCTTACCTTGTCATGTTTATCATTGTAGGATATTGCTTTCAGTTTCTTCCAACAGTTAACATGAAATTCAATTTTACAGATCTGGTTACAGAGGATTCGTATAAAGCCCTAGGATTTCAAAATATTTTTTAACTCACACTTTAAAGATGTCTACACACACAGCACACACATATATTAAGATAAAGACAGTGAGCTGTTTGTAGTCACTTGGCAGCATAACTAGACATTAAATTCCCTCCTAGGAGATTCTTCTGGACCCCAGAATGTCTTTGTCCCTAGAGTCAGGGGCATAGAGCTTGACTGACATATTTCTTTCCACACTAACAACTGGATTATGCTTTACAAATGTACCAAATGTTTTCTAAACATGATTTCATCTGATTTATGAATCAGAGAGAGTGGAATGGTGGGCAGGTGCTAGCTTCTTGGATAAATAAGGTTTTTATTCTTTAGATGATACAGACCTAAAGGAGTCCTGGGAATGGAGTGGACAAGAGGACATAAAACTGCTTGTAAGCCAGCGAACTGGAGGTCTCCAACTGCGGTATTCATTCTGAATCCATTTTAGGGTATGATCTTATAATTTAATGTCCCACTGTACATTCATTAGTTACCTTAAAGTCTGGATCAGATACATATATCTGGATTTTGAGAGATGCACAGTTTTTGTAAGAGGAGCAAATGCCTTGTGGTACTGGAGGGAGCTTGCACTCTTCAATAAATGATTCCAATACCGTCTAAAACAGAAATAAACAAAAATGATATTATAACACTAATGAGTTAGTAGGAGCACTGGTGGCATGGTGGTTAAAACACTCAGCTGCTAGTCCAAAGGTTGACGGTTCCAACATACCAGCTGCTCCGTGGAAGAAAGAGGAGGCAGTCTGTTTCTGTAAAGATTTACAGCTTTCTAAAGTGGCGTAGTGCCTAAGGCACTTGACTGCTAACCAGAAGGCTGGCGGTTCAAACCCACCAGCCACTCCTCAGAAGGAAGGTTGGGCAATCTACTTCTGTAGTGATACCACCTCGGAAACCCAAGGAGGGGTCGATATGAGTTGGAGATGACTTGACAGCATATAACAACAACAAATCCTATGGGGCGGTTCTATTGCGTCTTATATGGTTGCTATGAATTGGAATTGACTCATAGCAGTGGGTTTGGTTTGGTTTTAATGAGTTAATAAAAATGCTTTTGATTTTTAAATAACTTTGTGCCATTAAACTATTTTCAGCATAGAAGTGACTTAATTTTTTTAGCAAAGAACAAAGTACCTACTACTTTTAAAGTCCTTTTAAAAAGAGGCCATGTGAGCACGTGCCAAGAGAAGTGGGGAAGAAAGGGAAGACTAGACAAAATAATTTTTTAGGATTTTACAGTCAATCTTGCCCTGTGCTATAATCATCAAAACTTGTTTTATAATTTACAGCTCTTAGAAACTTCCTTTAAGGATTTAGAAAAAAAAGTCAGGTAACTCTGAGGACAAACTTGAAGACTTTATTCTTTTTTCAATTTCACTTCACCTAGGATCCTAACAGTCCCTGCCATCAGTGCTTGTTTCAACTCTGCAAAATCAGGCTGTGGCTATTTAAGCCTCCTCACATTACACTTCCATTGCTGGCTTTTTGTTGTTAATAAGCTCCCTATAGTTCCATCTCAAACTAGCACAAAGAGAGGAAACTGTAATGATCTTGCTTTGCATTTCCCTGATGGTTAAAGATGTTTGGCATATTTACAGATGCTTACTGTCTATTTGTATATATTCTTTGAAAAAAAGAAATTATCTATTCAGATCTCTTGCCCACTTTTTAAATAGATTACTTGTTTATTTTTTACTGCTGAGTTGTTTACAGCTAACCTTTGTGCTTTTAAAAGTTTTGACCAAAAGCAGATCCTGAGGATATGCCAGTGTTCACACTAAGGAAAGGCCTATCCCAGTCAATTCATACAAAATGTATTTCCTCCAGAATTAGCAAAGCTTTGCAGATATGAGATTAAATTTATATTTTCCAGATCTTCAACTATCACCTCAATTACTGTACTAACTATGGTGAAACAGTGGTGCTATATCTTTCTCTCTCAAAAAACAAACTCTGCCATCAAGTCGATTCCAACTAATAGTGACCCCTACAGGGTTTCTAAGGCTGTAAATCTTTACAGAAGCAGACTGCCTCATCTTTCTTCCATGGAGTGGTTGATGGGTCTGAACTACCAACCTTTTGACTAGCAGCTGACTGCCTTAACCACTGCACCACCAGAGCTCCTAAGATAAATTAACCAACAAATCAAAACCACAAACTCATTGCCACTGAGTCAATTCCAACTCATAGTGACCTCCATTGGGTTTCCAAGGCTATAAGTCTTTATGGAAGCAGACTGCCCCATGTTTCTTCTGCAGGGTGGCTGGTGGGTTTGAACCACTGACCTTTTTATTAGCAACCAAATGCCTTAACCACTATACCACCAGAGCTCCTTATACTTTTCTCTAAGTACGAACAATACAGTACAACACTTAATGGTTGCTTTGAAGTCAGAGTGTCTACATTCAAGCCTCAGCTCCATCACTCATAGCTGTTAAATATGAGCTCATCACTTCACTTTTCTAAATCAGATCTTCCTCAATTGTAAAAGGGGAATAATACTACTCCTGTCACAGAGCTGCTGTAAGGATGAAATGTCATGACAAGTAACAGGTGCATGCCTATACAATGATAACATTCAATAAATCGTAGTAATTTGCATTAGTTGTTAATAGGGGAAATGTATGTGGGGGAGGTGGCATAGTATTCTCCTGCCTCTTTATCTTCTGTCTGATACTTTAAGTAGTTAATACAGATGGGCTTTCATAGTTAGTAAGAAACACTTTGCAGAAATAAACAGTTACCCTCATTTTTGCTGGCTGAGTCTCTTCAATAATCACATTACTTGTGGGCCAAGTTAACACTCTAGGAAGTCGGCTAATTACATCTCTTGCTGTCTGAAAGTGTGTAAGAGCTTCTGAAAATCTAAAGCAATAATTATGAAGAAAGAAAATATTAAAGATGTGATATGGTATTTTCATTCACAGCAACAAAAGTCAGAGAGAGATTTCATGCTTACTAGTAAAAGTGAGTATGATAAATCATGGGGTAGAAATATTCAAAGTAATACATTTTCTTAACAACAGCAGCAAACCCAAAGGCATTATTATTGTTAGCCATAACAATTTGTTTAATACAAATTAAACACAACTTTGCCATGGACACTGATTCCACTATGGTACCTAGGTATATACTAGGTCTTTCAAAGTTGTGATTTATTTATTTTTTGAAGTTTGAGCAATTAAAACCGAAAACAAAAATTTGGTTGTTTCATTTTTATTTGTTACATACACTCTAAAATGGGAGCTCTGGTGGCATAGTGCCTAAGGCATTTGACTGCTAACCAGAAGGCTGGCGGTTCAAACCCACCAGCCACTCCTCAGAAAAAAGGTTGAACAATCTACTTCCGTAGTGATACCACCTCCAAAACCCAAGGAGGGGTCGTTATGAGTCGGGTCCGACACGATGGCAATGTGTTTGGTATACCCTAAAAAAAAAAAAACTCACTGCCATCAAGTTGGATCCAACTCATAGCGACCCCTCCTTGGGTTTCCGAGGCGCTATCACTACCAAAGCAGATTGCCCAACCTTCCTTCTAAGGAGTGGCTGGTGGGTTTGAAAGTAGGTTGTCATAGAAAAATGGCAGGCCTCCACTTCAACTAATTAACTAATTAAGTAGGAATTTTTTTTTACCTGATTCCATTAGGGCATCTATAGTCAAAATAAAAAAAACCTCTTCACTGAAAAAAAATTCAAAAGGATCATGTATTCTGAACAGCTTTCTTCAACCACAAAGCAGTAAATTATTTTAACAAAGCCAAATTATTTTAACTATTAATATGATATGTTTTAATTCTGACTTGGTTTTTAAAAATAATGTCAATATCCCACAGTCCATGCAACAAATGAGTATTAAAATACTGAATTATAAAGTTAACCATGTCTTTGCTCTTCCCTTCAGATGAGAGAAGAAAGAGGGTTTCCTGCTTTCTCCAATCCTGAAATGATTTCCCCATTTCAAAATCTATTTTTGCCTATGGAGACAGAAAGATGCACCGGCCGAAAGCTAGACTACCAACTGGAGATATTGACTTTTAATTCAAAACTGCACATCACAATGGCCAAAAGACAGCATATTAGCCCTTTAACTGATACACACTATTTAGAAATTTAAATGTAAATGCTTTTAAACAGAGCAAGCACTTTTTAGGTTATCATAATGACTCCCACTGTGATATATCTATGGACCTACTTTACACATCTGGTTACCTTCCTAGACCCTTGTGAGTATCCACACTGACCACTGTGTTAAACTTTTGTCAAATATGTATGTCCTCAACAATTGGACCTTGAATTTCATTTGCTATTACTACCAAGTTGATTCCTAAATGTTCACTTCCCTGTGCCTATCTAGTCCTTAATAATACAGTCCTGCAACACTTTCTTTAATCTTTAAAAATCTATACAGGAGATTGGGTTCCCAAGAATACCATGAGTTCCCAAAAAATTCCCCTTTTTAAGATGAAATTTTAAGGATAATTAAAAGTTATGAATGCTATTCAATTAATTATTGCCTTATAAAGTAATCTAAAGTAACTACCACTATATTAAGTACAACTGGTAGGAACAGGGAGATTTTTTTCTTTTTTAAATTCAAGACATAATCCTTTCCCTAAGGATCATACAGCCAATTAAGGGAGATAACACTAAGAGATATGAAACACTCAGAAAACGGCTACATATTAACTGTGAGTATGGATTCTAACTATACTAGAAGTTCAGGGAAGAGATTTTTACTCCTAACCCATAATATCTTTGAACATATTTGCTATTGTTGTTAGCTGCTGTCAAGTTGACCCCTGACTCATGGCAACCTCATGCAGAACATAGTGAACCACTGTGATCCATGGGTGCTCACTGGCTGATTTTTAAAAGGAGATCACCAGGCCTTTCTTCCTCCTCTGTCTGAGTCTAGAAACCTGTTCAGCATCATAGCAACAAGCAAGCCTCCACTGACAGATGGGTGGCTGCTGCACATGAGGTGCACTGGCTGGGAATCGAACACATATTACCTCTTATTAAAACCATCTTCATAGAGCACTTTTTAGAAATAGGTATTCAACTAAAAAATGATATAATCTGTTTTTTAAAGAATTAATTTATATCAATTGTATATGTATACTATAATTGTGTATCAATTACAGGTAACATATACTAAAAGAGAAAATATTAAATCCTTCTTGCCAAGTTATTTTATCACTGACATTCTTGCTAGATTGGGTATTAGCAAGCACCAGGAACTGAACTGACTAGCCTTGTTCTAACAATTAATATTGATATTGAAAAGCCACGTTTTCAAAGCCACAATAATTATTAACGTGCCATAATAAAGGTATCAAAATAATTCCAGAAAAGGAATCACCATCTATTAGACATCAAATCAATTACCAGCCTGGATCTTAAAGTAGTATAATTGCTACTAACCTGTTTTTTTTCAAATACACAGTTTCAATTCCACAGTAGGCCGAACTATCAAGTCCCTCATTAGCGTACAGTGCAAGGATCTGTCTAAACTGGTGTTCAGCTTCAGATAATTCCTTCAAAAACAATGAAAACAATGATGACTTCACAAAAAGAGTAATGCTGGTTGATGTGTGTGTATGTCTGTGTGTATGTGTGTGTGTAATATAAAAAGTGACCGTACATCCCAAAATTCCTACAGTAAAATTACACCTTCTACTTTTCATTTTCTTAGCAATTACATACATCTTGATCATATGGATATTCAGAGACACAACCAAAAAACTTCTGCTTCAGGATTAAAAGTGGAAGTCAAACGTATCAGAGAACCAACCCACCAAACCTTTATTTACTAGCACACATTGAGATATCGGTGTGTATATAGTAAAAACCTGCAGTAGTTGTCATTGAGTCAATTCCAGCTCCTGTTGACCCCATGTGTGTGAGAGTAGAACTGTGCTCCATAGGGTTTATAATGGCTGATTTTTGGAAGTAGATTACCAGGCCTTTCTTCTGCGGTGTCTCTGGGCGGACTCAAACTGCCAACCATGCTGTTAGCAGGCAAGTACTTTAACTATCTCTACCATCCAGGGACTTCTGGCTAACACTTATTGTTGCCAGTTGCCATCCGGCTGCCTCCATCTTGGGCAACCCCATATATAATAGGATCGCAGTGTTGTGAGCCATAGGGTTTGCATTGGAAATAGATTGCCAGGCCTTTCTTCCTAGTCTGTCTTAGACTAGAAGCTCTGCTAAAACCTGTTTACCATCTGTGGTATAGTAAATTACTTTGTGTGACTTTTCTACCCATAAGTCTTTGTAAACTCCAAGGTGGGATTTGCTATGAGCAACTGAGGAG